AGACACACACAGGCACACACACAGGCACACACACAGACACGCACAGACACACACACAGGCACACACACAGGCACACACACAGACACACAGGCACACAGACACACACACAGGCACACACACACAGGCACCCACAAGGCACACATACAAGCACACACACAGACACACAGACACACACAGACACAGGCACACACATAGGCACACAGACACACACAGACACACACACAGACCAACGGGCAAGGAAAATGCTCCATAGACAACCAGAACAGGTGACCCAAGGACAGTGGGCAGGGGACTCCCTGCACATAGGGGGCTCTCCCTGGAGGGAGCTGACCAACTCCTGAGTGAGAGAAGGACCTGACCCAGCAGCCCCACAGGGAACAGGATTGTGTTAGAGGGAAGAGCCAGTGCAAAAGCCCAGAGACAGGGCAGCTCGGACTCTTCAGAGACTGAAGGGCCAGGTCACACAAGAAGGAGGGGACAGTAGTTCGAGGTATAGGCAGGTTGGGACCCATGGGCCTGGGGATCAGAAAAAAGAGCTTTGTTCCGAGGCCCCAGTGGCACTAAAGGGCTTGGAGCACAGGGGGCCTGGCCTGGCTTAGATGTCACAGCCCTCCTTGGCTGCTGTGTGACGGGATGCAGGGCAGCAGCAGAAGCCACAGTGGCTCCTGCATCTGTCCAGGAGGCTCCCTGCAGGCTGAGGCGGGGCTGCAGCAAAGGGAACCAGGAGGCTGGGGCAGCCACAGTAGTGACCTGGACGTAGAGCCTCCGGCCCCGGCAATGCATGATCACCTGCCACGCCCAGCCCCCCAGGCTAGAGGGGATGTCTGGAGGGCAGGTGTGGGGCGAGGGCAACGAGAAATCCAGGATGAGCCCCGGCTATGGGTGGTGGAGGGATGCCTGGGGACCCTTCCGGGGTGGGGCTGGGGTCGGGGGTCTTTCCTGGACTCGGGAGGCTGAGAAGCCACCAGACGCCGGGCAGCGATGCACAGGCAGCTGAACGCAGGCGTCTGGAGAAGTAAAAATAACCGTGGAGTCATGAGCACACGGAAGGCCTCACAGCCAGGGGAGAGCCGGGGAGGGCGGCGGGGAGAGGGAGGAGGGGAGACACAGGGAAGATGGAGCGAGCAGGCCGGCAGGCGAGGTGGCCCAGGGAAGGGGGGGCGCCTGCAGGCAGGGGGCACAGTGGGGGGTCCACGCCCACACAGACCACGATGGGAGTCCACAGAAGCGGCTGTGGGACATCGTCCGTGGAGGTCACACTGACCTTGTGGCAGTGTCCTTAGCCAGGCAGGCAGCAGCAGCCTGAGGGGACCCTGCTGGGGGTGCAGCAGCCTGGAACCACCCCTGAGCTGGGCAGGGGCGGGGGGGGGGCCACCGACCAGGCCAGCCTGCTGGTATCTCCTCAGCCAGGCCACAGCCAGGACACACGGGACCAGGGTCCAGTGCCTAGTCCCGGGAAGGAAGCACGTGAGGGCTCGTCTGTCCAGCACAGGTGTCGGGGCTGCGGTCTGTGCCCCCAGAGCACAGACATCAGCAGGGCAGCCCAGGGTGAGGCTCCGGATGCCAGGGCTGGGCCCTCATGCCCACCTCTCCATCGCCCTAACAAGACCCCTGTCAGTGGCCGAGGACACAGGCAGGGGCCGCTCAGGTCACCATGCCCACACATGGAGCTGAGAGCCGCACCCGGCTCTACCATTCCCCGTCCTGACTCAGGGCTGTGGGAAGCTCGCCCTCTCGATGTTTCCATGGGGAGAGGAGAACCAGGCCAGTGCCCACGCCGGGTCCTCAGCCCGGAGCTGGGATGTCAGCCCCAGTCCTTTAGGGAAGGAGGCAGAAGCACAGGAAATCCACCACCAGGAGGCCCGCTCAGGAAGGGCCAGCCCACTTTCCACCCCAGCCCCTCGTTAGCAGAGCTGCCCACTGGGAGGCAGCGCCCCAGCACAGCACCAGCCATGGGGCAGCTTACAGGCTCACAGGCACCTGCCAGGCGGCGCCTGGCAGTGCGCTGTCTCCGTGACCATATGATGGGGTCCCTCCTGCAGGCCGGGCTCCGTCCCACCAAGCCGCCTTTGAGGTCAATGCAGACATGGGGGACCCCTGCCCTCCAGAAACTCAGCTTTCGAACCGAGAGCAGGGACGGGGGAGACTAAGCAGGCGCCAGCAGTCAGCGTGGGAGCAGGCGTGGAACTTCTGGCCAGCTGTGGGGGCAAGGCTCGGACTGGCGAGGAAGAGGGCTGTGCCCAGCAGTCCGTGTCGGGCCGGATCCCTTAGGTTTCGGCTCCTCGATTTCCCTGCCCATGACAACTCCAAGAGCCTGCCAGCTCCAGGACTCGGGCCTCTCCTGTGACTTATCTGAGCTGGATGAAGCCCCCAGGGGCAGCCCAGGTGGGAAGCAGGTCCCTCCAAGTGTCTGGTGGATGAACACTCCCCCGGCCACCCCAGCCACTGCACCAGGGAGGAAGCAGAGAGGGGCTGGGCCAGGCGCCGGTGTGCGCGTCCCCAGCAGTGAGCCTTCACCACGACTGGACAGACTGCCCTGGTCTCCCGGGGCCCTGCCTGGAGCGGGGATGCAGACACGCCTTCCACATCAAGGACGAGGCAGAGATCTCGAGGAACTTCCCACTGCAGGGCGCCCTACCGCCCCACCCCGAGGCCGGGCGCACTTTCATAAAAGGTGTTTCCTTTCATTCCTAACCACACTTTGCCACGAGAGAAAGACGTGCTCATGATGGAGAAAAGCGCACAGAGGAGCGGGTGCCGGTGGAAATGCTGCGCAGCTGGGCCCTTCCCGGAAGGAAGTCACCACTGCTAACCAAAAGAATCCTGCATTTCTTACGAGGAAGCAGACAGGCCCTTCCTCTCTCCCTCACACTGGGAGCACGGGGCTGTGCCGTCCATCCAGGACTGGAGCTGCTCCCCCCACGCCGGGCCCATCCACGGGGGAGGTGGTCTCCAGCGCTGAGGGGAAGGCAGCCGAGTGAAGGCAAAGGGGGTGGCATCCAGGGAGGCTCATGAAGGGCCAGGGCGAAGAGCCTAGAGGAGGTGCCAGGCTGGCCTGGTCGGGGTGGGGAGGTGGGCGTGAGAACTCTGCCCTGTCCCGTCGCCTCATCTCACTGACCTCCCAGCAACCCCACAGGGTGTCAGTTTCAGCCCCGGCTGCTGGAGTGACCAACACAGAAATCAGGTGTCCAAAGCGATGGGTCCCAAGACAGGGAGCCGGTGGGTGCCGGGGACACCTGGCCGCAAGGCTGGGAATGGTCATCCGCCCAGAGGGGACAGGGCACCTTCCACGACTCCATGTCACCCCCATGGTGGCCCACACCCAGCTCCAGACTCCCCAGCCTGTAGATCTCAACTGCGCAGGGGACAGGGTAACCGAGCTGACACTCGGGAGCCTCCATGTTCACCTGCAGACTCACAGTGTCCTGCCCGGGACCTGGGCAAACTCCCTTCCCTCCACACACACTCACCAGGCCCTGGGAGCGCATCCTCTTGAGGCTGGCCAGCCCTGCCTCCTGGGACACTCTGATCCAGAAAGAAAAGCCTCCAAGAGGGACAAAGACCTCTCCCTCTCCGTTCCTCTTGGGGGCAGCTGTCCCAGGTGCATTCCTGGGCCGGGACCTCTCTGGAGGGTTTGCACTGGCCCCAGCCCAGCACCGCCCACCAAGCCTCACCCGCCCCCCCTCAGCCCCAGCCCAGCCACGGCTGACCAAAGGCTCTGGTCCACCCCAGCCTGGCGGCTCACTCTGCCCAGACCCCACCCCTTCCTATACCAGGTCCCCTGTAGCCCCAGGGGACAGACACCTTCCCAAGCTCTGATGGTGCCCCCACAGCTCCAGGCAAGAGGTCTGGGCACGGAGAGCTGAGTGAGAAGTGACCAGGGTGCCGCATAGTCTCTGCGAGGGGAGGCGGAGGCCAGGCAGGAAGCAGCTTCCCCAGAGCCTGCAGAGGGGACCGAGGAGGCCCCGCCCCACACCCTCCCTGGAAGCCACGCCACCCATGCTGGAGGACGCCCTGGCAGCCCTGTGGCGTGCAGCCCCCCACGCCCGCAGGCCAGCATCCCACCCAGAACGGGGCCTGGCTGGCTCCGTGGCACCTGTCCCCTGGAGCAGCTGCAGGCCCAGCTCAGCCCTCCCTGCAGGCCCAGCGCTGCAGGCGGCCAGGGCTGCCAAACCTGGGGGCTCCTCACTGGCCCTCCCCAAGCTGGGGTGCTGGCTCAAGGTGAGGACTGCGAGGAACCCCTATCTCCTCCCGGAAGTCACCGTGCCCCTAGCCAGCCGCAGCCCAGCCTCCGCTCTGCCTGGGATGGACCCGGGGACAGCAGCCACCCATACAGCACCCCTGGAGGCCGGTTCCCGGACCCTACTCCGAGCGTCCGCACAAGCACAGCTCAACCCTCAGGCACGTGGGGCTTCGCTTCTGGGGTGCCCCTTGCTGCTCTGCTGGGGAGCTCAGGGCGGGTCCCCTCCGCCTCCAGGGCTGCCAGGCAGCCCTCGGGCCTCAGTCTGCCCTTCTGGAAGGAGGGTTCTCTGGGGCCTCCACCTGCGCTCCCAGGGGTACCTGGTCTGGGTCCGCGCGGGGCTCTGGTTTCCCGGCGGGGTGACGGCAGCGGCTATTTCGGGCGCGCTGGCATCGCTGCCCCGGGTCGCTAGGCCCCCACGCCCCTCGTCCCCCACCCGTCCGCCCCGCTCACCTGCCACGGGCGACGGCTTGCGCAGCACCAGCCACCTACTCTTCCACTGCGGGGACAGAGGGGAGCGTGAGCCGCCGCCCGCGCCCGCGCCCCCACCCCCGCGCCCCCGACGCGCCCCGACCTTCTTGCCGTCCCGCAGCTTGACCTGGCCCTCCACCAGCGCCGCCTCGGTCATCTTCTGTCATGGTTCCGCGCCGCGCGCTCACCCCGGCGCCCCAGCCCAGGGTCACTTTCAAAATAGCTCCGGGGCCCTGGGCTGGGCCAGGAGGGCGGGCCCGCGGGCGGGGCGGCGACACCGGCGGCTCCAGGGCCGGCGCGGGCCGGGCGGGTGGGGCTTCTTCTCCTCGATCGCGGGCGGCTCCCCCACCCCCACGGCCCCCTGGCCCCACTGTCCCGCTGGGGCCACCTGAGCCACCCGCCCTCTGCAGCAAACCACCATCTGGGCTCACTCAGACCAGCGCCTGGGCGGTGGGCCGGGGGGAGGGTGAGGCAGGGGCTCCTTTTTCAAAAAGCAAAGAAAGCGGCCCAGCAGAAATCGGCCTGCTCTGGGTAGTGCTCCCAACGTTGCAGTCTTCAAGCAGTCAGGCTTCCCAGATGGGCATCTGCCCCCCCACCACCCCAGGGGTCACCAGACACCCTGACAACAGACTGGCCACAGGCAGCCCGGGCCTAGGACACCCCATGTCCCCAGGATTCCCCCACACAGAGGTGACCCCTCCCCAGGCAGGCAGTAGGGGTGGGGTGCTCCGGCAGCCTCTGTCTCTTCCTCCATTCCTGTCCCCACTGAAAGGCGAGACCTTTGGCCACAGGGACCCCAGTGCAGGTGGGCGGGTCCAGGACCCACTGTGCCACCTCGGCACCCCAGGTCTCCACGTCTTCTGCCCCATATCCAGACAAGAGCGGGACCTGCTGAGGCCAGCCCGGCTCCGACAGGCAGAGGAGCTGCCCACTTTGTAAAGGACCCTCTGCAGCCCTCCCAGCCCGGGGGTCTCTGCATTTCTGGACTCCCCTCCTTGACCCTGTGGCTCCAGTCCAGATGTCCGGAAGCTCTGGCCTGGGCATTGGATGCCACACTCAAGTTCTTCTGGGGAGAGACCATGTGCTTTGGGGGACCTGGCAGGTCCTCGCCTTGGGTGTCAGCCCCATCTGAGGGGCGGTCTCCAACACCCTGGGGTCGGGGACACCCAGCAGATACAGGAACAGCATCGGGAGGGGTGATGGCACCCCAGAAAATGAGCTCCTGGACAAGCAGGGCAAGTCCACATGCCCTGCCCCAGACCCCATCCTCACAGGGCTGCTGGTTCTGGAGGGAGAAGACAGAGAGGGTAGACAGTGTCCCGTTAGGGAGCACCCATCTTCCTTCCTTTCATCCCATCCAGACCCGAGGCTGGGTTCCGTCTGCCTCGTACTGAGGAGGAGACGGAATCAGGGCAGTGTGAGGCCTCACGGCCAGCACTGTGCCACATCGGCTGACCTCAGAGGCGGCAGGAGCCCTGGGCACCCCTCGCCACTGCCCCTGTGATCCTAGAGGCAGGTCTCAGGTGGGCCACAGGGTTTGGCTTTGATGCTATGGAGATGTCTTGCCCGGGCCTCATGCAAGGCTGGGGACACCAGGCCCAGAAAGCAGCTCTTTGCACCCCAACCCACCCCCACAGTCACCTGTGTGGCCCCCAGCCGCCTTCCGCAGAACAGTTGCTGAGCCACAGATCCCCATTCATGCTCCCCACACATCCCAGGCCCCCGAGGGGCTGGCCAGGACAGCCGGCGCGGAGGCGGGGGCGGTTGAGGCTGTAGCCACAGACACATCCGCTGCCCTGGGCGCCTGGCACTTGTTCATCCCTGCAGGGAGGGGCAGGGCCCCGCTGCATTCCCGAGTGCTGGCCCCAGCCCAGGCTCCTACCACGCCTGGCAGCTGCACCTGCTCCCACACGGCCTGGAGAACGCAGGACGAGAGAGGGCAGACAACCTCCCTCCCTGCTCCACGCCGCCCCAGGGCTGCCAAAAGGTGGGGAAAGCTTCCTGCAGGAGGAGAAGGTAGCCTGGCTGCCACTCCCAGGCTGGCCAAGAGCTCTGTGACCCTGGGCAAGCTCCTGCCCCGCTCTGTGCCTCAGACAGTTTCCCCAGAAGTCATAGCCAGGGTTACTGGTTGCAAATGGACAAATAGGCTGGCCGCTGAGCAGGAACGGGTTGGTTAGAAGCACGTCAGGCCTCCCAGAACCAAGGGAGAGCTGGTGGGCAGAGAAAGCAGAGTCACATCCTGAGTCAGGAGGACACCGCAGCCCGGCCCCCCAGCATAGCTGGGCTCCATGCTAGGGGCAGGGCCACCACCTTCAAAGGAGGCCACCGTCTCAGGTCACAGCTGCACCCCTGGCTGACCAGAGGCCCCCCCTGTGGCTGCCACGCTGCCACTGGCCAGGGACACTGCCACCTCTGCCAGACCCCATGGTCACAGCGCATTGCCACACGGCTCTGCGGACAAGGGACCTGCCCCTCACCAGCCACACCACCTTTGGCCACCATGGGATCTTACTGGTCTCAGCTTCCTCTTCTGCCCTGATATTGTGATGAGCCCCCGAATGAGATGATGTCCATGAGCATCTTTCAAAATGATCCTGGGTTTTCCAAGCAGAAAGGGATGATGGGGACCAGGAGCGGGCTGCTATGTCTTACGTCTCCAAGTGGCCCAGTGTGCAGGAGAGAAACATGTCAGCTGACTATGGCAGTGCTGTACGCTGTGGTCACCACAGCTGTTCACACATCCACGTTTCTCAGTGCCACCCCTCCCCACACACACACACATATCAGGTAAGGCTGTATGAGTGAGTTCTGGCCAGTAGGGCATGGGTGAAAGGGGTGACCAACATTTCTGGCCAGCCCATAGGGTGCCTGACATGGTTTGGCTGTGTCCCCACCCAAATCTCATCTTGAATTGTATCAATACTAATAGCCCCCATAATCCCCACATGTTGTGGGAGGGATCCGGTGGGAGGTAAGGGAATCATGGGGATGGGGTTTTCCTGTGCTGTTCTCATGATAGTGAATCAGTCTCATGAGATCTGATGGTTTTATGAAGGACAGCTCCCCTGCACACGCGCTCTTGCCTGCTGCCATGTAAGATGTACTTTTTCTCCTCCTTCACCGCCGCCATTTCCCTTTGCCTTCAGCAAGCACCTCAGCAGTTGGTGGTTATTTTCCTGGTGGGGCCACCCAAACCTTCACTCCTGAGGGGTCTGGCTCATCTGCAGTCCTGCCTGGATTGGGCTGCCGTAGTTTCCCATTGCCTTAATCACAGGGCACGGTAATCCGAAGAGGCGCCCTAAGGGATCTCCTGTCTTCCATGCATACTCTTCCCCACCTCCCTTGTGGGGTCGTAGACTGATTTCATCTTGATAGTCCGGGTCAATCACCCCGGCCAACACTGTAACCCCCTTCTTAGCCTGTAGACTTACAGGTAGGAGGAGCCCAAAGTGTCCAGGTGGCAATCTTCCAGCTTAATGGAATCATTGTGTCTCCTGGTGGCAGCGTTCCTCCCTCTGGAACTAAGACCTCTAGGCCAGCAGAACGTAATGTCGTGGGAATAGGAAGCACAAATGTTGCTAGTGGGCCCCTAGGGGTGATGGTGGGTGGTGCCACTTCCACTTCCACCCCTTGATTCCTGGACCCGTGAATCCTGGCCATGGGAAAAACAGTAGCATATATTGGATGCTGATTCAGAACATACCCGGCCTTCTGGAGAACTTTGCCCTAGTTGTAATTGTGACTTCCAAAGGCCATTCCACCATTCTATCCAGATGCTTCAGGATGGTGGGGAACATGGTAAGCGCAGTGAATTCCATGAATGTGAGCCCACTGCCGCACTTCTCTAGCTGTAAAATGAGCACCTTGGTCAGAGGCAGTGCTGTGTGGAACACCATGACGGTGGATGAGGCGTTCCGTGAGTTCACGGATGGTAGTCTTTGCAGAAACTCTGGGTGCAGGATAGGCAAACCCATAACCAGAGTCAGTGTCTAGTCCAGTGAGGACAAACCTCTGCCCTTTCCATGATGGAAGGGGTCCAGTATAATCAACCTGCCAGCAGGTCGCTGGCTGATCGCCCTGAGGAATGGTGCCATACTGAGGGCTCAGTGCTGGTCTCTGCTGCTGGCACATTGGGCACTCAGCAGTAGCCGTAGCCAGGTCAGCCCTGGTGAGGGGAGGTCCATGTTGCTGAGCCCATGCATAACCTCCATCCTTGCCATCATGGCCACTTTGTTTATGGGCCCATTGGGCGATGACAGGGGAGGCTGGGGAGAGAGGCTGAGTGGTGTCCACAGAACGGGTCATCCTACCCACTTGATTATTAAAATCCCCCTCTGCTGAGGTCACCCATTGGTGAGCACCCACATGGGATACAAACACCTTCACAGTTTTTGACTACTCAGAGAGGTCCATCCGCACACCTCTTCCCCGGATTTCTTTGTCACCAATTTTCCAATCATGCTTCTTCCAAGTCCCTGACCATCCAGCCAAATCATTGTCTACAGCCCATGAGTCAGTGTGCAATCGCACATCTGGCCATTTCTCCTCCACGCAAAGTGCACAGTCAGGTGCGCTGCTCCAAGTGCTGCCCACTGGGAAGATTTCCCCTCACCGCTGTCCCTCAGGGATGTCCTAGAAAGGGGCTGTGTGCTGCAGCTGTCCACTTTCGGGTGACGACTGCGTGTCGTGCAGAACCATCTGTGAACCAGGCCCTAGTCTTCTCTTCCTCTGTCAACTGATCACAGGGAACTCCCCATGAGGCCATCGGTGCAGGCTGGGGGAGACAAGGCAGGTGGCAGGAGTGGAGACCATGGGCATCTGAGCCACTTCCTCATGTGACTTACTTGTGCCTTCAGGACCTGCTGGAGTCTGATCACGTATACGCCACTTCCAACTGATGACGGAACGCTGCTGTGTGCAACCCACTTTATGGCTGGATGGGTCAGAAGGCACTCAGTTCATGACAGGCGGTTCAGGTCGCATGGTGACTTGATGACCTAGAGTCAGACGTTCCGTTTCCACCAAAGCCCAGTAACAGGCCAAGAGAGCAGTTGTCTGCAGAAGACGGCTGGGCCTTGCTCCAAAACCCTAGAGGCCTCTGCTGTGATTCTCCCGTGGGGGCTGCCAAAGGCTCCACACAGCATCCCTGTCTGCACTGACACCTCAGCACCATTGGATCTGCTGGGTCACATGGCCCAAGTGGCAGGGCAGCCTGCACAGCAGCCGGGGCCTGGTGCAGAGCCTTCTCCTGTG